CCAATATATTGTATGCGGTGTAGAGGTGTTCGCCGATACTTATTGTCAAATGTACAGTACGTTTACATATTGAACGCCGCCTTACAGTCAGACACAGTGTATTAAATGTGTTTTACACACAATGTTTAAAGTATTCAATTCTATACTGTACTGTACTTTTGTATATATAGGAGAATTTGTATGAATTGCATAATTAATTTTACTTAATGATTATGCTTTAATTTAAATAATTTTTTTATCAGTTAGATTCAGTTGGTCATTTTGGGAGCAAACCAACTACTGTATATAAGTGCCCTTTTGACCAGGTTTTTAATTTTAAATATGATTTACCCCGAAATTTGAATGCAAGCGTTTCTTTACATAACCCTCACAATTGTCAGCATTTTATCACTGTATGACTATTTGAAATTCTGAAATGAACTAGAACTTTCCTAAATATTTAATTTAGATTTACAAAGTTTAATATTAACAATTGTGTATTATCAATTACATTTACTTTTAAAATTTATATTGTGTTTTGTCAAATATTCTTGTAATTCTTTAATAACCTAGAACGTAACTCAAAAATTCAATGGAAACGAAAATTATTATTTTAATTAAGTATTTTAATAATATTGATATCTATTGACTGAATGTATGATTGAGTAAATTATTAATAACGTATATTAAGTTATAACTTAAGATTTTTGTTCATCATTATTGAGCCAATTTATAAATTATAATATATGTTAACTAATTGTAAGCATTTATTCTACAAAATACTCATACTTTTATTATTATCACAAATTTCTATGATATATAAGCGGACGAGACATTCATTTCTATGTACAGAATATACGACATAAACCATATTGAAGACGATGGAGAAAACAACATCATTGCTTCCCTATATCACTATCATTTTAGATCCACTTTTGTGATATATGAACAAAATATTAGAACAATGAACAAACACTATTAGATCCAAGTTGTGTGAACTAACCATTTATATGAACCAAACCCTAAAACCAAAACCCGCACCCAATAGATATAATGTTAAAATTCTGTTAACTGTCTGAACGTAAACTGTATAAAAATTTGGATGTTTTTATTCCCTAAAAATGGAAGCTTTAATTATAATTCATGCGATAATTTAATAATTTTCAACATTTATCACATCTATTATTACATATTTGGTTTGATATAGGTTTACATTAATTTCAATTTAAATATTTGTAAATACAATCATCTCATTATGAAGTTATGAGGGAAGCATATATTGCACAAAAACATCAATACTTTTATAATACATGAGATATGATATCGAATATTAGAGACGGCAAAGAGAGGCAAAGAGACGGTTGAGTCCGGGAATGGATGTGTAGAGGAATGGTCTAAAGGGTGGACTGATTGAGAGCTAAACCCAATAAACTGTTATGAATAGCAGGAAAATGAGTTCTATTGAGTCTCTTAAGTGCTGATAATAGGAGGAGAAGACGACCGAAACGAAGTGTTAATGAAGTGGGAGTTGTGTTGTCTATAGTGTGTTGTATTTGTTCGTAGAGAAGGATCTGTGCCTCGTCTTGCATTGATCTGATGTGCTCTCCATTTGATAGACCACTGCATTCTGTGTCCACACAATCGGTTATGTAATGAATAAAATGCAATTCAATTAAAGTTTCAATAAAATTGATTACTATATCATAATAGATAGGAAAGCAATAAATGTCAAAATGTTAGACATAGAGCTCATTGATTATGAATGTAATACATTGTGTGCAATACTTGCCGGGTCTGAACAGAAGAAGCACTTTAAGACATGTGAACTCAATTTGGTTGATGTGAAGACTTTTCACGTATTCAATAATATCCGAAAGCTTTCTCTGTTCTATGCTATGAGTGAAATAGTTGTTCAAAACCATAACTGTATAGTTAGTGCTCTCAGTGTTTAAACTGATTGTTTGTTGCATTATTGTCAGGATTAGCATCTCGTTTAACGTCTCCTCTAAAAGCAATTTCTGATCATTCCTATCGAGTCCTTGAAATGCTGGTATACTTAGCGCCCAATGAACTAAATCACAACAAATGGACAAATGGTTTACAGATATTGATGTTCCAGACGTTAATTTCTCATTATAGGTCTATAGCACATACTGTATAGCATTTAAATGCAAATTCTAATGCATACCTGTGCTGAATATAATTCGCGTGATTTGCGTGAATGTGTTGGAAGTGATGGTAAAATAATTGGGAGAATAGACTGAAGAGCTATTCCACTGAATTGCCGGAAGTGCTGTCGACGAGTGAGACATCGATAGAGTTGTGGGAATAAAGTGTGCGCCCAAACAGAGTGGCGATGATGTGGTCGAGTCGGCCACCACTGGATTCACCGGTTTGTTGCTTATGGTTTGAGTGGTGTTTGAATGACTACTTCTTAAGCATAGTTTGGGAGGAATTTTATTTTCTGGCATACATTTGGTCAAAAATCTTGTACTATTGCTATAAGTTTTCGTATTTGTATTGCAATTAATTCTCTCGTGTTGTACAGCTTTAAAAGTGGCAAAAAGTGTCATAAAAATGTGTTAACGCGACAATTGAATGTTAAAAGAGGCAAAAAATAAGTTGTCATTATATATAAAATCAGTTTTAAAGAGAAATTGTGTGAACAAGTATTGACTTAATGACAAACACATATTTACCCTCTCTTTTCATATTGACTGCATTGATATTGTGAGAGAAAAAGCAAACTTAAACCTATAGTTAAAACGGAAAAAGACTGAAGTATTATCGTAATACCTGAAATGCATTTCTGAAAGCGACAGTATTGACACTGGTTTCTGGTCGAGACATCGATAAAACACAGACCACTCTCTTTGCACGAGTAGATTAGGTTACGGCGAACCGACCGCTTAAAGAAACCCCGGCATCCGTCGCAACTCAACACACCGTAATGTTTGCCTCAAAAAACAAACATCAAATTCAACGCAAACAAAATATACAAATTATTTAATTAATGGATGACAAACCTGATGCCCGATCGCCGCACACTCGGCATAATTGTACGCTTAGGTCTTGCTTCGAGTGAGACATTAGATTTTTGATCACTTTTCTCAGGAGTTATTTATTTGGATATTATGTGAACGAAGTGTCGAAACGAATGTATTCTCACTTTGATTTCAAAATGAATAGAGAGTTAAAGATTGAACGCCGGTGTGAAGTGATGGGAACCCAACCACTTGTTGATCCCCTACTAGTCTTTGGAAAAAAAGTTGTGAACCAAAGAATAGGCAATAACCGCCTCTTTTGTAGTATTCAATGCAAACATCAATCGTTATACGAATGCTTCAGTTAAACAAAAAGCTGAACTTTTTTTTTAATAAAAAACAGTAAATTTGAAAACAAGTTATCACTTGTTGTCAATACAGAGAGAATGAGAAGTAAAGAATATAATTAACTTTTGTGTCAATTCGATAGTTAAGCGCAACATTTATGACCAAAATTGTATGATATATGAGAGATATCATCGGTAAAGTCGGTCATGCGTTATGTGCGCCAATCCTATACCATATCTATGGATGAAATACCTTAAAAGAAATCGACAGAATCACAACCATTGTGTGCCCGTCTCAGCCCTCTTCGTGTATTTCTCGCACTTTTCATGCATTTTAGTCACAAATCTGTGAATATTTCCATATGTTTTAAATTGAGTTCTCGTGTAGTAATTGAGTGCAACAAAAGTGGCGTTTCATAGACTAAGTCAAATGGCAGTCACTGTTTGACTGTCCGTCACTTCACTATCACTTTATTACGTTAAATACAATAGAGATTAAGAGCGCAATTGTACTCACATTCACAGACTTAGTTCATAGCTAACAGTGCTTTCACTTTACGGCTGCTGTTAAACCACTTTTAATATCAAATAAAATACTTATAGGACTTAAATATAAATTCAAATACAAAGCAATAGGAATTATAAGGCATTTATTTCATTGCAATCAATACATTATTTCGTGGCGAAAGAATCGGATCAAACAGTGGAAAGAGTGCCGTTTGAATGCCTTCTTCTTTCAAATAATTTATAAAATCCAATAAAATTAAAGTTTCGACTAATGGGGCGATCAATAGTCGGAGGGAATAAAATATGACAACTCTTTTCTCATGTTTTACACATTCTTTGACAAAACAAGAATCCAATTCTTCCTCAGGTATCACAATATCTAAACCATTGACTGCTTTATAGAAATATTGGCGAAAAGTCATTTGTGGAGTAATTTTAACTCGTTTTAATGCTTTGTGTCTCATATCTGGTGTGAATTTATTAATAAGTGACTCCAAAATAGCCCGAAAACAATGTACTCGAAGTGAATCTAAATTATCTGCAATTAAAATAAGAATATTATAGTAAACAATATTTAGAAAAACTATTAGAATTTAAGTTTCAAATACAAACCATTTGTTTGCAATTTATGAACAAATTTCTCGATGGCATGACAGGCAACTTCTTTGGCCTGATAGCTCATCTCAGGCACTGGCGAGCGCTTAACCATTTGACTCAATGGAAAACTATAAATGCATTAAAATATGTTCAATATATTGTGTGAATCAATAAATTGTTATATTAATACCTCTTGTTATCGATTTTCATATAACAACAACTGACTAAAAGCAATGCTTTGGCGGATTGGCATTGTTTAAGTTGATTGAGTATTATCGTCGAGAGTGGTCCACACGCGTGAAGACCTAACAACAGGTGATTCTCACTGTTTTGTGTCACTTCACTAATCGATGTGTTCTCTTGTAATAAACAATTCACTTTCTTTGGCGCATTCATCCGCACACTATCCGCCAGTTTCCACACGCGTGAAGACCTAACAACAGGTGATTCTCACTGTTTTGTGTCACTTCACTAATCGATGTGTTCTCTTGTAATAAACAATTCACTTTCTTCGGCGCATTCATCCGCACACTATCCGCCAGTTTATATCGTTGAAGACATTTCAATGTATTCGTGTCTTTGTGTTGTGCGCCCAACACGTTGTCATCATTGCCTTCAATGCTAATCACATCATAACCGAAACACACACTCATTATGCGGGACAGATGTCCCTGACCTGAGCCGCAGTCCACGATTGTCTTGCAATCGGCGATCCCTTTCAGCAAATGGTCAGTGAGTTTGGAAAGACGTCTGATTTCGTGTCTCTTTTTCTGATTAACATTTCTGTTGAGAATTTCATATTTCATTTTCGGGTGCAAAGAGTCGGTCACTTCTCGATCCAACACTTCATTGTTTTCACAAAAACGAGTTTCCGGTAAAATTATCTCTGAATTAGGGCTCCATTTGCGGGACAATTGAAGCGCCGAACACGAGGCCCGAAGTGATAGCAAACTCAGCGGCAAAACAGTCTTAAACGATGTTTTAGGTTCTGTTGTCAATAGGTTTGTGATGTCCGACAATTGAAATTCTTGGATACAATTGGCCCACGATTTGGGCACTTTCTCCCAATTTTGGTCCACATAATAGTCCTTTCAATTATATATCAATAATAGTATTCATTAAAAACTATTCTCTGGATATCTTTTAATTGTTTGTATAAACATTTATTTTACTTAATTATATACTGAACTACTATCCTTACTCTAGTGTTGCTTGATGGTTTTAAGGGAAATTAAGTAAATAAGTAAATACTTTCCCATATATTTTTACCGTAATAAAATTTTTAATTAAAATAGTAATTTTAGTCAATAATCTAAATACTTTTTTATTCTGAATCTTTTAAATTATACAGTTAAACCTCGCTTATAAAAACTTCTTTTTTTTGGGAAACATTCTCTATAAAGAACATCGTTGAGAACTTTTAGTCTACAATTACCCATCTTATAGAGAAGCACTGAATTGACAATAATTCATTATAAAAGTTCCATATGTAAAATAATAAATTTATCATTGCATCAGTTTGCTTAAAATATTCTATATTTTTCTTTCTCATCATAATTTTATCTAAACTTTTAATCGAGACTCAAAATGGACTACAATTAGCCTACGACTTCTAAATTACCATATTTTAAGAAATTTTGCTTATGTACCGGTACTAATATAACATGTGACACCACTTGATTTGGTTATGAACGGCTAAAAGTGTCATCGTCTTAGAAATACCATAGTTATACAATACTTTATTGCTTAAAATAATAAATTTTTAGAATAAATAGGATAGAATAGATAGGTGTTGATAATAGAGAGGTTCGACAGTACTGTATTGATCATTATGAAAGGAATACATGAGTGAAGCCATTGCAGTTAAACCAAATTAAAACATTTTTCCATTAAATGCAAACATTAATAATAATTAATATTTGCAATCATTTAATTGTATTGTTATTATGAATAGAAATAATTACCACATTATAGACGTCTGTAAGCCATCGATAGTGCGATAAAACATATGATAAATATTTAACGTGAATCTCATCTCTTGTTTGATTGGCTGACAAACAGTTGTATTCAAACATATTGTGGTTAAAATAAGATTTACATTAAAGTTAACAATTAAACAAGATCACTTGGAATGACCACCTTGCTCAATTTAAAAGTTGTCAATCACAACAACATGTGAGCCAATGCTTAACACGTGACGTGAAATTTATAAGATGCTAAAAGTTAGAGGTGTTGTCTCATTAACCATTTGTACAGTCAATCTCCACAATTACCGCAACTACCGTATATTTATCAATAATTGACCATGGTCACTTTCATTTCATACGTTTAATAATCACTTTTATTGACATTTGAATTATTTGTCCACATTATCGGCACATTTGAGGGTTAATTAAGTTGAAACAACTTTACGAACAATTGTTTAACTATTGTTAGAAGTTTTGACAACTTATTAGACTTGCTTTTCAAGTAATCCATTATTTTATTAATAAATGTATTCATTAAATATCGAAACATGAAATTTATTTATAAACATATTTTTAAATTCAAAAATACATAAATTTTATTTAATTGAGAAAAATTGACGCAAATATAAGACTAATCGGCAAATAGTTGTAATTTATATACAACTATACGGCCGAAGAGGTCATAAAATTGATTGAATATAATCTTAAGGCAACTGTATAAATTTTATTTAATTGAGAAAAATTGACGCAAATATAAGACTAATCGGCAAATAGTTGTAATTTATATACAACTATACGGCCGAAGAGGTCATAAAATTGATTGAATATAATCTTAAGGCAACTGATCCTACAATCGGGTAATTCATCAAAAGTTTGCAAACCATTTGAATCATTTGGATATAAATTAGTTTGAGTTAACAATTGGTTCCCGGAGTCCAAGAAGTAAAGTGTCATCTGTTTGGCAGCGAATCCGCCCTGAAATTCAATGGACAGACTTCTTAGGCGTAGTCCACGATTGTCTTGCAATCGGCGATCCCTTTCAGCAAATGGTCAGTGAGTTTGGAAAGACGTCTGATTTCGTGTCTCTTTTTCTGATTAACATTTCTGTTGAGAATTTCATATTTCATTTTCGGATGCAAAGAGTCGGTCACTTCTCGATCCAACACTTCATTGTTTTCACAAAAACGAGTTTCCGGTAAAATTATCTCCGAATTAGGGCTCCATTTGCGGGACAATTGAAGCGCCGAACACGAGGCCCGAAGTGAGAGTAAACTCAGCGGCAATACAGTCCTAAACGATGTTTTAGGTTCTGTTGTCAATAGGTTTGTGATGTCCGACAATTCAAATTCTTGGATACAATTGGCCCACGATTTGGGCACTTTCTCCCAATTGTTGTCCACATAATAGTCCTTTCAATTATATATCAATAATAGTATTACAAATAGTATTATGTTAATTAAAAACTATTCTCTGAATATCTTTTAATTATTTGTATAAACATTTATTTTAATTATATACTGAACTACTATTCCTACTCTAGTCTATTAAATGTAGAAGATTTGATGTTTTTAAGGGAAGTTAGTAAAGTAAATATTTTCCCATATACTGTATGTTTAATAAAATTTTTAATGAAATAATAATTTTAGTCAATAATCTCAATACTTTTTATTCTGAATCTTTTAAATGATACAGTTAAGCCTCGCTTATAAAAACTTCTTTTTTGAGAAACATTCTCTATAAAGAACATCTTTGAGAACTTTTAGTCTTCAATTACCCATCTTATAGAGAAGCACTGAATTGACAATAATTCATTATAATATATAAAAGTTCCATATGTGAAATAATAAATTTATCATTGCATCAGTTTGCTAAAAATATTCTATATTTTTCATTCTCATCATACTTTTATCTAAACTTTTAATCGAGACTTAGAATGCACTACAATTAAGCGTGACTTTTAAAGTACCATATTATAAGAAATTTTGCTTATTTTAGTTTGGAAACATTTTTTGGTTAATAAAATACTGTATAAAATATCTCGTTATAAGATATAGTCATGTTAGATGACTCATGATCATGTACTAATATAACATATGACACCACTTGATTTGGTTACGAACGGCTAAAAGTGTCACCGTCTTAGAAGTACCATAGTTATGAAATATTGCTTAGAATAGATAGGTGTTGATAATAGAGAGGTTAGACAGTACTGTATTGATCATTATGAAAGGAATACATGAGTGAATGCATTACAGTTAAACCAAATTAAAACATTTTTCCATTAAATGCAAACATTAATAATAATTAATATTTATAATCATTTAATTGTAATAATATTATGAATAGAAATATAATAATTACCACATTATAGACGTCTGTAAGCCATCGATAGTGCGATAAAACATATGATAAATATTTAACGTGAATCTCATCTCTTGTTTGATTGGCTGACAAACAGTTGTATTCAAACATATTGTGGNGGTTAAAATGAGATTTACATTAACAATTGAACAAGATCACTTGGAATGACCACCTTGCTCAATTTAAAAGTTGTCAATCACAACAACATGTGAGCCAATGCTTAACACGTGACGTGAAATTTATAAGATGCTAAAAGTTAGAGGTGTTGTCTCATTAACCATGTTTGTACAGTCAATCTCCGCAATATGCAACTGCCGTATATTTATCAATAATTGACCATGGCCACTTTCATTTCATACGTTTAATAATCACTTATATTGACATTTGAATTGTTTGTCCACATTATCGGCACATTTGAGGGTTAATTAAGTTGAAACAACTTTACGAACAATTGTTTAACTATTGTTAGAAGTTTTGACAACTTATTAGACTTGTTTTTCAAGTAATCCATTGTTTAAAATCCATTATTTTATTAATAAATTTATTCATTAAATATCGAAACATGAAATTTATTTATAAACATATTTTCAAATTCAAAAATATATAAATTTTATTTAATTGAGAAAAATTGACGCAAATATAAGACTAATCGGCAAATAGTTGTAATTTATATACAACTATACGGCCGAAGAGGTCATAAAATTGATTGAATATAATCTTAAGGCAACTG